TAGTCAGTTTTGAAGATTAACAAAGACTAACACTGAGCAGTGCTGATTTTCTAACACTGGAATATTTCTAACATTTTGAGTTATTTTCCAGTGTTAGAAAATCAGCACTGCTCAGTGTTAGTCTTTGTTAATCTTCAAAGCTAACTAGGTTACTTTTAAACATATAACACTGTCAAAAGTGTTAATTTAACACTCAACAGTGTTGTATTTAACACTCAGAGGTGTGGACCCATATAGACACTCTCCAGTGTTAATTTAACACTGGAGATTTTGCTGTGTGGGGAAAAAAATGAGTGGATGGAGTCAAATGCGACTGGCTTGCATTTGAAACCAAATAATTGTTCAGGAAAACTTTCGCAATTTCACAGAAACTGCTTTTTTTTTTTTTAGAGGAAAACATGGCTCAGGGTGGTGAAATACATGTGTATTGGGGGGCATGAGGTTTGAAAGTAGCCAATCGAAAAGTGTTATTCGTGTCTCCTTATTGCATCCCCGGCAGATGCAGTCCAGCATTCCCACATCATAACAGTTTACTGCGTGCACCTATCTCGAGTGTTTTTGTGTTTTTGGTTTTGTTGTTCTTGAAGCCCTAAGATGCCACCCAACAATAAGCATTTACAGGATTTTTTTTTTTTTTTGACCACATCAAAGATTTGCAGAACGCTCCAGGAATATTTTCACTTTTTTCATTTGAACAGGGTTGAGCTCACATCTAAGTAAAACACAGCATGGGAAACCAGTTCCAATTAGCCAAGCAGGTACTATAGAGGTTAAACTTGGGAGAAATTTACCTGTTGCTTGCAAAAAAAGCAAAGTGGTGTTTATTGCTATTGTCATCACCTAGATATTGATTTGGATGTGAAGATTGCCCCTGGGTTCCCCAGTGTTCGTCCTCACTTTCATTCCGCTCATCCGTTTTTATTGAGTTTGGGTCACTTTTCTTGTCTGAGACCTCCTCCTTGTGATATTGGCTCCTCTGTCATCTCCACCTGCGTGATAAGCCAGTACGTTTAACAGTCATCCTGATTGGGAGAATCCACGGTGGGCGGGAGCAGCTGGCATGCTCTCTCAGTATGTGATGGATGTGTTTTGGAAGTGTGTGTGCCCCAGAAGTTTTAGAGCAGTAATTTGGTGTAATTACTCGATAGCTTTTTGGTATGGTCCAGAGGAGGAGAGGGCAAATGCAGCCGAGACCTTCACTATAGGAGACCAATGGTCAGACTGTGGGACAATAGGACTGTTATTTTTTACCCTTACGCCTCCCTTTTCAGCAGAAAATAGCCTGCTGGACAGCTGGTGACAAACTGCCCTCTTACAATCCATTAAGGATTGTACCTGGAGCCTGGGAGAGTCTTGAGATACAACACCACTCGCCTCTTCATCCTTTTATTCTGAGCTACAGCTTCTCATCTGTTGCCCTCTCTTTATCCCTCTCTGATTCCTGACTAACTGCTGTAGTGGTTGGCAGGCAGCACAGGCTGTACCACATTAGACAGAAAGGTAAAAGGTGAGTACATGCAAGTGTTCAGAGGGTGTATAGATGTGTCGAAGCTGCTGTCTCAGTGCAAAAGTTGATCACTGTTGTCAAAACAAATTAATAAAGATGATCACATCACAAATTAGTAATTGTGACCAGAAACCGGCCTGAACGAAACAGCCAGTGCTAGAGACAGGAAGGTCATGAGTGTAAGTACCAGCTTATAGCAGATAAAAGCTTGCCTGACCTCTTTTGGTTCTACAAAAAATAAGATTATGACCTGATTTTCGTGATTTGCCTTAATTGAAACAAAAGAAGACTGCAATGCTTTAGTGATCTGAATGTCACACTAGTGCTCAGAATCAAAAATCTACAATATTACATGCTTCTCTTTTAAATAGAGCACCCAGACTAGACATTAGAAAATATTGCAGGTACTGTACACCAGTACATCTGTGCAATGACTGAGGACAAATACACACCCACCTTGAGTTATGCCGGCCAAGGGAATTATGTTTTTTGTAGGATTTGCGTTTGTGTATGCATGTCATGTTTTCTGTCTATGAACACAATGAATTATGATAACACTTTATAGGAGTGTGGACTGTAGTATTTTAATCATTCATTAAATTTTGGTTTATATCCACCAAGATCTTCAAGGTCAACTTAATTATTTTTTATAGAATCAACATAAAGCCTTATAACTTAGAAACTGTGATTCTTACAAGGAACCCAGGGGCATAGGTGTGTACTGTGATCATATAGAAAGTATTGCGTTAAGAATTAAAATATGATTTCACTCTTGACTTTCACTCTTCAAGGTCAACAGGTTGATCTGAAGGTCAAAGTGACAGTACTATATAGAGGAATTTTCAAACTTACTACCAGTGTTTGTATTGACATCATATAGACTAATAGGGAATGATAAATGTGGAATGGTTGTCCGTGTTAGCCCTGCGATGGACTGGTGATCTGTCCAGGATGTACCATGCCTTTCGCCCTGTGGTAGCTTGGATAGGCTCTGGCCCTCCCACGACCCTGATAAGGTTAAGCGGAAGAGAATAGATAGATGGATGGACATTACTTTAAACTGCTGACCTTTTCTTTAAGGTCACATAAGGTCACATTTTCATAAAATGTGCTATTTTAAAAACTATGATTAAAATTCTGCTGCCATTTAGGTAATTATATTGGTATATGGAGGATTCTAAATATTAGATTATAGTTTGCGTCCACACATCATGTCATATTTGAAATCTAAGAAAACAAAATGAATATATACAAAACACAATACTATTCCTTTAAAACTGCCTGAGTGGGGTGCCTTTATGAGTGCTTCTTGTTGCTGTCTGTTTCCCCATAAAAAAAAAATTGCATCTAGGTAGATATAAACTAACAAGGGATCTAGGATTAACCTCCTTGGTAACACCAATATCCCAAAGGTCTAAGTTGTCATCAGTGACCATCCCTTCCTTTAATCTAACCCCAGGCAATCCAAATATTTAAATTTAGATTTTGATACACTGTTTTTCCAAGTCATTCCAATTAGGAACAGGAAAATAATCATGCTAACTCAGCGGTCCCCAACCCCCGGGCCTCGGACCGGTACCGGTCTGTGAATCGTTTGGTACCGGGTCGCGAGAGTTGAGGCTCAGGTGTGAAATGTATGGTTTTCAGGGTTTTTATCGGTTTTCAGCATTATTTTGTTATCGTTTTTATTGTTAACTCTGTTTTCCTGGGTCTTTTCACATGTGTTATGAATAAATCTTCTTTTTTTCGGTACCGGTACTAGTTTTATTTTGTTGTATTTATCCGCGACACCTTAAAGGCCAGTCCGTGAAAATATTGTCGGGCATAAACCGGTCCGTGGCGCAAAAAAGGTTGGGGACTGCTGTGCTAACTGACTAAAAAAAAAATTCAAATTTTTTTCCAAAGACGTCCATTATGGTCTATTTCATAATATAGGGTTGTAGAGGGAACAGTTGGGGTTAGGGTTACCACCTATAATCATTTAGAACTCCGAAAGTTAATTGCCTTTGCTGGTTGAAATTGGTTCTAAGAAGCTGTTATTCTCCACCTTCAGTCAGTATACTTAGCTGTTCAGATACTGCATAAGAACCAAGTACTGAAGTTCCTCACTGTAGTTACCAAATGTATGTTAAACCACCTGCAGACTCTGAGAAAAGAGGGAGATGAAAAAAGCCAGAGTCACTTTTTTTGCCATTTCTATTTGGTGTGCTTTTTCTGTAGTTCGTCTGTGTGTAGGTGTGTTTGTGTGTGGGTGAAGATGGCGAGAGCAAACAGCAAATGAGAGTGTGGTCTTTTCTGCAGACTTGCAGTCATAGCTCTAAAAAGATGAGAGTCACAGTGTTATTGTGTAGAGCAGCGGTCCCCCACCCCCGGGACATGGACCGATACCGGTCCGTGAGTCGTTTGGTACCGGGCCGTCAGAGTTCCTCTGCTGATGTGTTACCTCTCACCAATCAGCCTTTGTCATCCATTTGTATTAGCAGGGATGCACACATTAAAATTTGGACATTCAATTTTGCATAATTCACCATCGAGACAGTGAGAGAATTGTCAGTTTCCTTCAAAGATGATTAGCATTGAGCGACAGTCATGCTTCCAGCCATGTGCTATTCTCCCTCCTGCTTCTACACTCATTGAATAAATCCCCCCGCTGCCTGCTCATAGAAAATCTCTAACCACAAAAAAGAAAGTTTGGAGTTTGAAAACAGTGGCTGGCTGGGGAAGTTTTCTGAATGGCATCTTGGATTTTCTCTCACAGTCCGAAGACATGGGCTCGTTGTTCATGAAATTGGAATGAGTAATGACTAACCCAATCCTATAGCTATACCTCCAAACCCTAAACAAAAAGAGAGAGAAGCAAAAGGGAATGTAGTGATAGTGTGAATATTGCTTCATGCAAATCAGTTAGATTAATTATTTTTCCCCACTGATCCTCAAGACTTTTTGGCTTTGTTTTGTTTTTGTTTTTAACTCTCTGAGGTCTAAGTCTAAGTCATCAGTGGTGATGACCACTTAGGTCCAAACTCTAAACTGATGTTTTTGAGAAAGCAAATGGGAAAATTTTGGAATAGATAGAATTTATTGAGAAAATGGAGGCATAATATGGTTTGACATGGTGACGAGTCGTAGTTACAGAGGACTCACAATTAAAGAACCATTAAAAAACCATTAAAATACAGTTTCCCCCCCTTATTGTAGTTTTACTTTCAGAAACAAACCAAAAGAAGCAACAGGACACATGCATGCAAAAAAACAGATTTGAAATGTAACATCTTTTACTTTGTAAATGAGTCTTGCTAGCATGTGGCTATAACAAAAAACAACTTTAACTCTAAATGCCTTTACACACTGAGCACACGGCAGAAAAAATGACATGAAATTTTGAATTTTTCAAATGAAAACTTGTCGTGTAAAGTATATACACATCAGAAGTATTTTGCGAAAATATATTCTCAAAACATAAACTACGGGGGGGGGGGGGGCTGCTTTTAGAGATATTGAAATATCTCTAAAAGCAGCTACAGCTCCTTTTTTTTGTCAGTTGGGCAGTTTGAGCTCTTGTTGGCAGAGTTGGAACCACATCTGAAGAGGCAGAGAAAGGATTGACCCAGAGCAGCGTTTAGTGATGTGTCTGAGGTACAAACAGGATTATTTTATTGTTTCCATATCATTGTATTTTCAGTAAAGTATTGAGCTATGAGTGCACTTGTTGCCAAATGAAGGGTGTCTGATTGGTCACACCTGTTTATTTGCTTGCAAAATCAGGAAAATCGAGAAAATAATTGCTGCAAATTTGTCACGTGAAATTATGGTGTCTGTGTAAACGGCTGAAGAAAACGTGAGTCAGAAAAATACTTTTTTTCAAAGGCCTCAACCCATTACAAGTCTCTGCTAAGCCAGTAGCTGCTAGGAGTTTTACAAGTTCCTCAATAAATCCTGATCAATTTTCGTTGTGTTAAAAAAGCAGGTCGTCGAAGGTATTCATCAATGCAACTGTTTTATCACCTCTGAGATAAAGTCAGTGTAGAAAAAGAGTAGATAAAAGGCTTGCATTCACCCAGATGTTCAAAGTCAAATGTCATGAGTTTGACATCATAGTTTTGTGCTGTGCAACTGTTATCAGAACATTTATGAGAAGAATTGATATGCTTGGAGACGTACGATTTCAATGGACTGGACAGTTTTCAGGTGAAACCAGTACATCCCTGTTCACGCCACATGAAGCGTCTGACTTGGTTTGACATGGCTGTGAACACCCATTACCTCAGCGAGCATGTCACTGTTTTTGATCTTTCCATGCACTCTGCTACATCATTTCTACCTTCTAATTGGGATTCTTCTCACATTGGAGCGGCACAAGCTTTCAAAGACAAAGGTATTTTCACAGAGACAGGTGTGAAGCCTCCCAAGTGTTTGTCAGTGATAAAATGAATTATACTCTTACTAGAAAGCAGCCTTGATCATAACACTGCCAAACTTACTTTCTTAATGCTTCTTAAATCTGAACTGTTTGAAGAGTCTTACCAGTGTGCACTACATCAGAACACCACATGCTTTTTAGACTGTTATTTTAAGCAGACAGCTGCTGGTGTTTGACCATGTTGGTTTAGCATGAGATAAAATATGGGACTGAAACCAAGATTTTTGGTGTTGATGCTATTGTTGTTTACTCGTAAACTGTAGATGGATTTTGTCTTGTTGTGTTGATTTGGAAATAAAGGTTTAATCATATTTGTGTAATGTACATTGGAATTGACATTAGATTGAACAGATGATGCTAGATATACACAGTGTTAAAAGGAAGGTCTGGGGCACCAGTTCAGCTCAGTGCGTTGAGCATGCGACCACATGCCATATGGCCGAGAGTGGCCGGCCTGGGTTCGTAGTCCGACCCGCGGCCCTTTGCTGCATGTCTGCCCCTGCTTTCCTATCCTCTCTTCACTGTATCTGTCAAATAAAGCTGAAGATATGGATCCCTGATTTTAAATAAGAATAAATTTACTGTTAGGTACTTACAGTGCGTTCTACATATTCTCTCTCTCTCTTACTCATATGACAGTTTTGTTCTCTGCTTTTTTTTCTGATAAAATAAAATGATCCACCAGCAAAGATTGTTCAAAACAAAAATGCAAATTTGTGCAGTCATGAAAATATCTTGGTTAGAAATGTTCTCTTTCGATGTTAGTACTGCTACTAACCAGGGACGCTTTACCAGATGGGCTCATTATTTTTATCCACTTCCACCTGCCAGCAATCAGTCACCGTAATGAATCCCAGAGCTTTTCCAATCACATCTAGAAAATGACACAGTATTTAACATCCTATTTGGTAACTGGTGAGGGGTAACGCATGTGGACTCCCTCAGTTTAATGCTGTAAAAACCAAGGGAGTAAATTTGCTCTCTCTCTCCACCTCTAAACCAGCTGACACTAACTAATTGACTTGCTGTACGGCTTAATAATACTAAAAGCAGGAAGAGCCATCTAGCCAACTCATTACATAGGACTAATCCTTTATAGTTAATTAACTTTTATTTTTCCAGTGTGTCAAACAAGGGAAAATGTATAATGCTGTCAAGGGTGGCAATTTTTCTTACTTCTATATCCACCTGCTACATGTGAGAGGGACATTTTAATGCCAATGTTGGCACAGAAATGTACGAATAGGCTAAATGCAGTATGCTGAGATATTTTCATGCTGGAAAAACACTAAGTTGATTTTCATGTTCAGAAATTCATAACACATTTCTTGTAGCATTCCAGCTCCAGCATCTTACAAATAAATGAACAGCATGCGTGGGTGGGCGGGTGTTCCAGCGTGGGAGGTTTTGCACTGTGGCTTTTCTCATGCCTTTGAAGGTTGTGCATTCATGGCTGTATTTTTGACTGGTGAAAATCCCACAGATTTGACTCACATGAATGGGCCTGCTGCAGACATATGTGGATGCTGTTTAGTGATGCGTGGTAAAGAGGATGGTGTAAAACTCTATCTCATAAATGAAGAGAGATGGAAGAGCGATTACCATGTTCAGATTTGAATTTGAACTTTTATTCTGGTTTGTCAAAATAAGAGTGTACTAATAATCATGGTCTCTCTCTCTCTCTTTCACGAGGGTGGCGTGGACACCCAAGTTTTGTGTATGTAATCCTACGTCATTTCAGAATGAGGTGACGTAGAATTTTGAAATTGATACAATAGTACTACTAAAAATATCGAGTTTGAGGTTTTCGAAAAAGGTGGCAACACAGAGTTTTCAAATTGATACCATAGGTTCCTCTATTCGAAGGCTGGCGCCTGTACATTATTTTAATACTGAGTTTAGGGATTATTGTCAATTGCTCTTATTTGGCTTTTTCAAACACTGACATTTTTAAGGAAGAAATACAGAAAAATTATGACAACTGCAGACGTCTGTCCAATGCATGTGTATATAACCAAGTTCCAAGTACCTCATTGCATATTTAAAGATTTTAAAGATTTAAAGTCCTTCCATCCTAGACCCCTGGTTTAGTGTCTGAAAATGTTTAAATAAAAGCTTTGTGAATATTCTGTCAAGTCATTACATCCAAAGCAGATGCATCCATATATAGCTTTTGTGTGTGCAAAAATTAACAATGATTGCGATAACTGTCTTTTGTTGTTTATCTTTTTATCTATGAAGTTGGATTTTGCATTGGTGGTTGTTGGGGAAAAAAAACATACGTGAACATTCAACAAGTCCCATGCTAGAAGTACCAGTACATTGTGAGAATTTTCAAGGTCACCTTGATTGGATTATTCTTTGGTTCTTTGGTTCACATCAAACAGAACTTGAATGAAAAATATTAATGCATACTTTCAAAAGCTCTTAATCTGTCACAAATCTTACTTGCTGTCAAGGTTTCACAGAAACACAGATAAATAAATAAACTGATGTAATCATTTCTGTGTATGTATTATTTCTGCAATATTTTTAGTTCTTCAAATTAAATTTTTGTTGTGGGTTTGTTGTTTTTCAATTCGGTCTAATCACACAAATTACACCATTAACCACATTGCTTAGAGGTAAAAAAAAAAAACGGTACTTTTAAAATCTTTATATAATGCAAGTAGAGTAGTCGTAGCCTGCTTTGGTAGCATGTACATATTGGAATTTACACATTTCTCTTTCTTGCTTCTAGGTCATGGAACCAAAGGGGTGTTTGAGCTCTTGGCGGGCTGGAGGAGAACCAGGGAAAACCTCCCCTTCAAAGAGCGAGTTGCAGACGCGTTTGCCGACGTGATGGTGTGCTACACTATGACCAGTTCACTCTACATCATAACGTTTGGCATGGGAGCTAGCCCTTTTACTAACATCGAGTCAGTGAAAATCTTCTGCCAGAGCATGTGTGTGGCCATCCTGGTCAACTACTTCTATGTTTTCTCTTTCTATGGCTCCTGCCTGGTGTTTGCTGGACAGCTTGAGCAGAACCGCTACCACAGTGTTTTCTGCTGTAAAATCCCCTCAGTGGAGTACCTGGACCGCCAGCCCACATGGTTTAAAACCATGATGAGTGATGGCCACGACCTGTCCACACACCATGACAGTGTACCATACCAGAATCACTTCATCCAACACTTTCTGCGAGAGCACTACACAGAATGGATTACCAACACCTATGTCAAACCATTTGTGGTCATTCTCTATCTTATTTATGCTTCTTTCTCATTCATGGGATGTTTACAAATCAGTGATGGATCAAATATTGTGAACCTGTTGGCGAGTAACTCTCCAAGTGTTTCGTACGCTCTAACTCAGCAGAAGTACTTTAGTAACTACAGTCCAGTGATTGGATTTTATATTTATGAACCCATTGAGTACTGGAACTCCACAGTGCAGGAGCACTTGAAGACTTTGAGTCACGGTTTCAACAAGATCTCCTGGATGGACAACTTTTTCCACTACTTGCGGGTAGTGAATGTGAGTGCATCAACTAAGAACGACTTCATCACCATCCTTAAAGGTTCCTTCTTGCGTAGCCCAGAGTACCAGCACTTCACAGAGGACATCATATTTTCCAAGAACAGCGAGACTGACGAATATGACATCATTGCTTCAAGGATGTACTTGGTAGCACGAACCACTGAGAAGAAACGTGAGGAGGTGGTGGAGCTTTTGGAAAAGCTTCGGCCCTTGATGCTGATCAACAGCATCAAATTCATTGCCTTCAATCCAACGTTTGTGTTCATGGACCGGTATAGCTCCTCTGTCATCTCCCCCATTCTGACCTCAGGCTTCAGCGTACTCACCATCCTCATCCTCACTTTCTTCCTGGTCATCAACCCATTGGGAAACTTTTGGCTCATCCTCACAGTTACATCCGTGGAGCTAGGTGTCTTGGGTTTGATGACTCTCTGGAATGTCGGCATGGACAGCATCTCAATCCTGTGCCTTATTTATACCCTCAACTTCGCCATGGATCACTGTGCACCACACCTGTACACTTTTGTGCTGGCCACCGAGCACACTAGGACGCAGTGCATCAAGTTGGCACTGGAGGAGCATGGGGCTGCCATCCTGCAGAACACATCTTGCTTTGTGATTGGGATCATGCCCCTGGTGTTTGTGCCTTCCAATCTGACCTACACACTGTTCAAGTGCTCCCTCCTCACCGCGGGCTGCACTGTGCTGCACTGCTTTGTCATTTTGCCTGTCTTCCTGACCTTCTTCCCGCCGTCCAAAAAGAGGCACAAGAAAAAGAAACGGGCCAAGCGGAAAGAGCGGGAGAGGGAGAGGGAGAGGGAGCGGGAAAGAGAAAGGGAAAGGGAGGAGATAGAGTGCATTGAAGTCAGGGAGAATCCGGATCATGTGACAAACGTCTGAACAGTTTGTAAGGATAGCAGTCAATAGTAGTGCTGGATGCTGAGGTACCTCTTGAGGTGCAGGGGAATATGACATTACCCCTGAGGAGTGAGAGGTCATCACTCCTAGCCAATAGCAGCTAAGCTGGCCAGAATCGAGTACAGCCCTACTGGTCAGATGTGTAGTCCTTCAGTCTGGACAGTGTATCTCATTTGCACAAACTGCAACACGGTCATGGTTCTAAGGCTCTTTTCCAACTCTTTGGTATATAGAAACAAGTTAGCTAGCAGAACACATGCTTGCTCAATCTGTAAGTAAATCTTGAACACACAGTATGTTATTCCATTTAAATATTAGTAATTATGTGTTTGTCTCCTGCAGCCCTCTTCTCAAAATGAGTGAGGATCATAGCAGTCTATTAAGCCAAGGACATTCAAACAAGTTGGCAAAAGCAGCAAGAGCGATAAAGAGTGTACAAATTAAAACTGTGCAAACAATGACTGTGCACACACATTACTCCTCACACCTTGATAAAGGTGAAAAGAAACAAAGCCAAATTGCGTGGAAAGAGAGAAGCAGTGGGCTGAAAGCACACTGCATGCTTTTCTGTATCATTATAAATAACCGAACAGCTGAACTGGGCAGATGGCATACACTGTGTCCATTATGAAGAATTATCTTGCACATTGCAGTGTGTGATTAGAACTGTCAAGGTTTATATAAGCGGGAAGCAAATATTTCTGCTTTAATTCAGAGGTTGTATCAGGTCTTAGGCAACAGCAGAAGGAACTGCAGTGGGCTGCAGCATATGAAGAGGAAGTGATAAGTGACAGTCATGCAGGAGTCTTTGAGAAGGCAGTAAGCCTGATTCTTAGAGTATGACTTAACTAAATCCTAAACTGCTTTTGAACCCAAGCAGCAAAACCAAAAGTAAAGAGTGTTTCCGTGGCTTGAAACGTCGAACTTCCTACCAGAAAATGTTCCCCCAAAAAAAGTGTGTGACTGTCCCCAAAAGCTTACTGTTACTGAAATTGGAAGGTCTGAATATGAGTCAGTACAGCGGTGGTGCCAAACAGTGTACAGAACAAAAGTCTTGGCAAGATTGAACATTTACATGAAGTCACAAGTTATTTGAGCTTATTTAAAGGATTGCTGGTTGATGTTGCCCAGGTTGTGATGTGAATTATAGCACAGGCTGTAAAGTATAGTGTCAGTGTGAAAAGAAGACAAAGGAATCTAGCTGTTGTTGCACATGTAGGAAAACAGAAATCAGGAAAGCAAGAGTTATTCAGAGGTCAAGTTAAAGAAATCGTTAATGAGTTATTCCATCAAGGTTACAGAAAATAGCGGGCAACAGTTAGCATGGGAAGTGACAACAACACTGTAAACGTGAGGGTGAAGACCATTACTGCCACCTGCAGGGTTAAAGCTGGTCTTGTCAATATAGTATCAGTGCATTTGGATCTAATCCTTCAAAATAAAATTCCATCAAAAACTTGAGTTGTCCTCTGCAAATACCCTTTTCAAAATTCACTTTTTGAAGTGCAAAAATGGCTCCCGTCTCCCCCAGAAGGTAAACAGAATTATCTACGTGTGCCAAGGCCCGATAAGGATCTCTGTTGCAGCCCCAAAACAAACACACCCAAGGTCAGCTGCCCTCAAAGATACCAATCACACTCTGACCTCTAGCAGGCAGGTCTTAGCTGGTGGCATGTGATAGAGAGACCCCATATGTGAGCAGATGTGGCTGATTAAAGGCCAATACCTTCTTAGGGGACGAGCTGCTTCTTACAGGGCTGTCATTGAGGGGACACTGCTGTTTCATCCGTTTGTGCTGCCATCAAGAAAGTGACTCACACAGGGAAAATAATCGGGCAGCTTGGGGGTGGGGAGGTAAGAATGTTCATTTGGACCAAATGTCAGTGTGAAATATGTGCATATGTTCGCAAAATGAGTGCATACATCTGTGTGATGAATGGCTCGTTCTCAAAAACACTATTAAAATGACTTAATGTGTAAATCAGTGAACGAATGATAGACAATTGTGGAAAGGAGACTTCAGCCTGTATTACTTTACCATGAATGGATTATTTAAAGTTTCTGCTATTTGAAAATTGGTGTAGTTTCACTTTCATCAACCAGGCACTACTAAGAAATGATGAGTTTTATACAAGCTACTTGCTGCAGCAGCTGCAGTCTTATGTAAAAGCCATGGTGTGTATGTATAGCAAGAAGGCATGAAACGTTGACAGAAATGCAAATGAAATGGGAAAGAAATGCAAATCCTAAACAATTTACTTCCCAGACTGGACTGTGTTTGCATGGCACTGTATTGTATGTATGCATGTATTTAATTTCTCTCTATGAAGACTATGTATTTTTTTCTTTTTTCTATTATTTTGCTACACTGTAGTGACTTACGTTTGTTGTTTGTTGTTTGGATGCATACTCTGTAACACCATGTGCTGCAAAAGAACAAAATGTGTCATACTTGTTTCAAAACAAAAGCCAGAGGATATTTGTGTAATATAGCTGTAAATTACTCTTTTCTATATTTTCTAAGAAAACAAATATACTATAGAAAGATTTTTAATGACAAATTTTCTTAAAACAAGCAAATTAAAAAAAAAAAAAAAAAAAAAAAAAGGGGGGAAAAAATGTTGAACACAGTAGGCCAGTAATAAACAGTGGAATGTTACCAGTATACTAGATCGTGTTTCTTGCAAACTGCAGTGTCAATGTTGATGATTCACGTTTTTATATGGGAAACTGTGGCCACCATTTATTGTTTATGTGTCTTGACTCCATTATAATCTTTACTTGGTACTCACATTTAAGGAAATTGAACCTTAAACAGCCCTTTGTCAGTCTTCTGAACAATCTATCAAGCTTTGTAATGATTACTTTGAACAGAAAACCTAGATTAGAAATTTACAGAATATTGGGAATAATGTTGTGATGAACATCTATTATAGTTTGCTATATGACAAGTCAAGCTTAGCAGCAAAAATATAAATATCTAGCTTAACTCTTCTGGAACTTTGGTCCTAAATATTAGTGTCCTCTTACTGTATGGAACCTGCCATCACTGCCTGACGAGCTGTTGTTTGCATCATATCCACATTCAACGCTTTTTGGCTTTTTTGTAATGACTTTAATACCTAGTGCCATCTGTTTCAGCTAAAGTCTGCTCAAAAGGGATACTAAAACAAATAGAAATGAATCTTCTATGACAACACGTAGAGTCTTTCCAGTTGAATGCTGTATCTTAATAGTTTCGTTTTTGACGAAGGAAACCTGAGAGGAGCCCTGCGTTATTTTGATAATGTAAAAGAATCCTTTGAAAACACCAAAGCAACAGTCTCTGATGTTCTTACACTATCTGGGCACATTCTCATATATACAGCCCCATTTACGAAATGCAAAATAATGACCTGTAAATATTTAGGGCTGGGTTTGGGTTTTGTTTTAGCAAAATGCTGAATAGACAAAATTTTAAATTTATATATAAATTAAATATATGCTAGATGGAAAAAAAAAAGCCAACCCCAGCCCTAATCATAAATGGGTCACAGGCTGACCACTTGGGGTTAGGTTCCATTTTAGTTGATGTTACAGTTCAAATAAATTCCCTTATTCTGGTATGAGAGCTCTATATGCCCAAGATAGGGTCTTGAAATATTCCATTTAAGGGGTAGATGTGAACCTAGGTATAATCTTACTTGTAAACAGATTGTCAACAGCTTTGTGGATGTAGAAGGTCAGCATTCTGAAGTCTAAGCCATCATCAGTGATCACCCTAAATCTATACTATCAGAATGCCATTTTTGTTCTTTCAAAAAATTGTTCTCTCAAACTTGGCTATCAAAGGAACAACAACAAACTAAAAACTGTCTGGTTCAAATATTAGCTTGTTCCCTAACTCCCAGGCTTGGAGGACAAGTTGATGATGGCTTGAACCTCAAAGGGTTATTATGTGGCTCATTCAAGTTGTTGATAGTTTCTGGACATTGGTGGCGCTCAGTGGCACAGAAGAAATAAATGAATTAGTGCTTGGATACAATAAATGGATTACTTTTTATAATTTTGGTTTGCATTGAGTTTGATTAGAAAAGATACAGAACTTTGCTAGTCTTGGTCTCTTATTAATAAACTCACACAGGATATGCTCTTAAAGGTAGTGCACACTATGTGTTGTGTTTATTCACGTTTTGATCTGAGCACATGTGCCTGCGCATATATAATTCATTTGTAATATTATTTAAAATGCAGGAGTGTTGTGTATTTTCTAATATTCGCATCAGTGCTTTTCTATAACCTTGTGCTATATGTGTGCTTTTGTCCATGTTGTCATTTACGTGATACTGTGACATTATAGGAAAATATCAATATGACAAATTAACCTCAAACACTTTATGTTAGAGGAGTATGATGCACAAAAGCAATTCAAAAAGAAAAAAGTATTTGACAAAAATCTTTGATTATTTTAAGAGTCAGTATTTAGGCAGGTAGATGAGTCTACTGTAAGTCTCATGGAATCCCTAGACCATGCACCAGCACATTTTCAGTTTCTATAACCAGGGACAGCACAATATTTCCACAATACAGGGCAATAAAATTATGCAATCACCACTTTGTTTGCTGAATAATCTACATGGCAAATCTGTTTCAACCACAGCCTCAGAGGAAAAAAATTCTAATTTTACTGCAAGTCATTGATCTTGTACGTCAAGTAACTAAGTCACAAGAATAGGGTGTTGTTGGCCCCGTTCATCAAACCTGGTAATTACAAGTTTCATATTTTATGTTAAACTTCAACATTTTGCAGGAAATCAAATGAAAGTGAGGTTATTTGGGTAAATTGGGGCCCCTTAAGTTTCTTTTTGTGAAGTATCTCTCTCTCTCTCTCTCTCTCTCTCTCTCTCTGTCTATCTATCTATCAGAAAGCTATTTTTTGCTACTGTTTCTCTGTCCACATCCATACAGTGCTGTCAGCTGAGGGTGTATAACTTGCTTAAAATGTCTAGAACAAGGACCAATATTGAGTAGAATAATGCATAAATTTGGCTGATTGTTAGAGTTAATATAAATGTGTAAGCAGAGGATTCTGGTTAGTTTTTACCAAAGTCTAAGCCTACTGTGTCTTAAAAGATGACACCACTTAGATTAAGAAGGCATATATTCTTTAGATTGATGTGGGCTATGCAGTCATGATGTTAGCAGAATCAGATCTTCTTCAAATCAAAGACTATTTTAGATTTTTTTGTGTGCAGCTAGATCTACATTAAACTACTGTGTAAGACTTGCAGTAACAAACTAACTGCTTAAACAAAACTCTGTGAGTTACAATAACAGAATAAATGTAAAAACTAAAAGCTAAAAGCTAAAAAAGTAGCTTATGAACAATTTTTCAAGTTATTAAACTGGTAACTTCAGCTATACAGAAAGCTTTGATCAGGAAACATTAGATTGACTAATTTGTAAGAAGAAGAATGTGTTATTTGGCTTTAGAAATACACATAGTATGTGAGGTAACATAACAATATCATGGTTTCCTTATCATCAGTGATGGCTTTCAATTTATGCTATTAGAGTATGATGTTTTTTCTTAAACTGGGTGGTGTTCTCTTTTAAGTGTTGTTAAGCGCCTGTTAGTGATGTAAATCTATGCTTTTTACATAGGGGGTGTCATTGCCTTACATATATTTTTCAATATTCAAGTGCAGATGTTGATATTGTTAATGTGGAGTATTTTTCTTAGATTGTGACTGCATTTCATACATCTTTAGAACCAGGTGTAGTAAAGATACAGTGTGACGAGATGACAATGCTGTCAAGTATATTTTAAAGTGCTTTTCGTTCTTATTGACCTTTCATACATCGGACATACAACAATCAAAGTAAGAGACAAAAATACACGTTTGTGCCCAAAAAGGCTGTAAGAATGGGCACAATCCCCTTGCCACCACCTGGAGTCACTGCTAAACATTTTCTATTTTATGTAAATGCTAACATCACCCAGATATTAGATCAGTGTACAGCTCTCCATGGCTTTACATTTTGGGTGCATTCCTTAAAAAAGACCAGGAAGTTACAAGCTCTAGCCTTATGTTGCTTGTTTTTCTTGTTGCCTTGCTAGGTGTTGGCAGAGCTTTAATTCTCTTTTGCTAATTTATGCCTCTTGCCAAGCAGCTGGAAGATTTAACTTCATTTGACTGCAGCAACAGAGAAAGAAATCAAGGGAGGAAAAGAGCAGAAGCAGGAATGAGGAAAATGTTTGAGGGAGGAAGAGGTAGAGAAAAAAAACGGATGCAGGCAAAACAGGAGGTAAGCTCTTATTTGAATTTGAGAAGATTTGAGCAGCAGGAATGATGGGAAGGTTTCCGGTGAAGGGAAATGTTATATGAATCCAGGGTGATTGCAGTGCTTTGAAAAATGTTCCCTTTGAGTGCTTTGCTGGTGTAATGAGACTTACCGGCTTAGTTTACTCACAGAGCTTCAAAAGTTCCTGCCTGCGGTGACAAATGCAGATTTTTCTTGCTTCAGAGGAAACTGATTCTATCTTGCGAACACATATCTTTGTAAGTACTCTTTCCTGAGAAGAAAATGGTATTACAACAAGGCGTCAGAATAGTCACATAAATAGTGTTCCATTTCATCGAAAGGAGAAAAGTTATGCTGGGACAAAGCACTCAGGTGACTTAAATCTCTGAACTTGCAACCAAAAACTTTATGTTCACTCTCAGATGGCATGACACTAAATAATTTATTAATTTTTATCTCAGAATTAGATTGGGGTTTTACTTCAGTGACATGGTGGTGAAGCAAGAAGGTTTAGGATTCAAACCCATTGGCCAACCTGGGATTTTTTTCATGTTCTCCGTGTTTTGTGCAGGCTCTCTGTTCCTTCGTACTTCCCACAATTTATGTGTTTTAGATTAACTTTTCTATAATTGAATGGTTCTTCTCTGTATTGGCTGTACTCGGTCCCTTGATACAAAATTAAGGGTAGTTAAACTATCAAAGAGCTGCAAGGAATTATCTTTTCATTCAGTGATTTAAAGCACCACTTTGGGCCAAACAGAAATACCTTAGCTATCGAATAGATTACTAATGTTGTGTTGAAGCAGTCCAGTTCCATTAAGGATGTACCCTACTGACGTGAGTGGCTCTCTAGCACCGGTCATCAAAGGATCATGCCACCAGGTCTTCAGTCATAGGACTCATATCATTTCCAGTAAAACTATATTAATGACTTTAGGTGATCAACAAATGTTTCAGTACATATGTGTATTATCATCTATCAAACTCCACACTAGATGGTTAGATAGCTTTAGATAATCAGCCATTACCACTGTTCACGTGCTGTCACGCTCATATTAGCAAAACACCATTGTGTTGCTGCCTGATGAATCTAGTAGCAGAATTTTCTTGTTTATTTTGCTCTGTGGACCTAACCACCACTGGAGCCACTGAGGGTATAGGACCCCAGGAAACCTCAATTCATTAACATCTTTCAGTAGATTGAATAGTAATTTGTTAACACTGTGATGTCTAAGTTAGTCATCAGTGGTAACCCTAAGCCAGTCTTGGCAGTCAGAAGACAAAGAATGTAATAATTAGTTCATCAAAAGTTATTCATACTAAGTCATTAAGTATTACATTAAGTAAGACAGTTAGAGCTGTCATTGATGATGACTTAGA